GAGCAGCCTTCCTATGCAGGCACAATGAGGGATGGAGGCGACAGCCACATGCCCAGCTCCCAGAGGCTGGGGCTGGGAGTAACTAGTGGATTCTGGAGCAGAGCCCGTTGACCCACCAGCTTCCTGGCTGCTCAGGGGACCAATCTGGAAACCTTTCTCAGCATAGCCAGCCCCACCCTCCCCTAAGTCAGCAGACTCACAGACATAAATAAACCAGGGCCCTTGGGTATCTGCCAAGATCTCAGTCTTCTTGGCGAGAGTCAGGGGCCAAGGGCGGCCCCTCGCTTGCCATCCTGTAGAGTAAACAGGGTTGCTTATTTACACCAGAGCAGAGCAGAAATCTTGCATGGTACAAATCTGGTGGGGAGTGTCCCCAGAGGTTTCCATCTGGGGCCTGGAGATAACACCTATGTAGCACCTCCAGCCAGGACACCATCCCCTCCACCCTTCTGCTTCCAATGGGGAGACTCTGGCCTTCTCCCTAGCCCCTGTCTGTCCTTGGAGCCAGGAAGCCACAGGCTGGCTGTGGGTGGCCATGCTCCTGTCACTGGGTACCTCCACATGGCTTAAGGCCTTTAGCCACTTGACACAACTCACGTTGCTACCAGCTACAGCAGACAGCAGGGCAAGATAAGGGGCTAGGTTAGCAGAGCTGGCACCCATAGAGGTACTCCTGCACCCTTAGGGTAAGGCTGGGGACGGAGTGGGCACAATTGGGGAAGGGGTAGAAACCAGGACCAGAAAAAGTGATGCCCAACCAGATATGAAGAGACACAGGAAAGGGAATGCAAACCTCTGACTATGTTTTGTAGAAACTGCTGTTCAGTAAAAGTAAAATAAATAAAGGGCAGGAGACCCCCTGCTTCCCAAGGAGCTCACAGCCAGACTTCATTGTCCCCCATCTCCCACCCAAAACAGCCAGGTCTTCCTTCTCCAGCCTCCAGGGCTCCTGTTCCCCAGGGTCAAGGCTGCACACTGATGGGGACCTAGCTGTAACTGCTGATGCCCTAATGAGTCCCCCACTTTACATATGTAAGCCAGGGAGGACAGTCACCTCTCAGGGCCGCACACATGGCAGAAGGCAGAAAGGTGGGGCCGGGGTGCTGCAGCTTGGGTTTGTTGTTATAGAGAAGGACCCCAAGGAACAGCCTCAAAGGCCACCAGCTGCCAAACCAGCACCCCCAACCAAGGCTGAGCTGCTCTTTCATCCCCTAGGCCTCTGCCCTCCTTGGGGCTCAAGGGACCCTACTCTCTGAGGGTGGTGACTGGCTAGAACTCCAGGGAGCAGCTGGGGAACTTCAGCTGCCTCCAGGGGCTGGCGTAAGTCAAGCCCTGCCTGGTGCTCTGGTCCGATAGCCAGCTGGTGCGTTCGAACAATGGCCAGGGTGTGGGGTGTGGGGCAGGCTTATGAATTAAAAATAGATGCTAGGAATCGCCAGGGAGCCAGCAGCAAGGCTGTGGGTTGTGTTTACGAGAGAGAAAAGAATGTCTCCTATTGATGCCGGGCCCAGGGTGAGGCCAGCCGGCCTTTCACACAAACCAGTGGCCCCTGGGACCAGCAGAGTCAGCTGACAGGCGAGTTCTACCCATGGGACATGGACAACACACCTACAGTTCTTTAGGACTCCCTCTCCTAGGCCACACCCATCCCTAGAATGCAGGTGGTCCCACGCCTGCTAGTGATTTCAGGCCTGAGTCTTGGGGCCAGGCTAGAAGCACGGGATCTGGTCCCCCTTCTGCTAAGACCCAGCTGGGTGCCCTTTTGGTTCCTCCGGGACCTCAGTCTATTCATCTGTAAAATGGATGAACAACTTCCCAGGTTTGATTTTAAATGTGAATCAGGCATTGTGTGGAGTAAAGCTGAAAAGTTTGGAAAACAACAACAACACAGTCCTGGGAATGGTCACTTGCCCCATTATCACTCGGACCCAGGGAGTCATCCCCCAGCCAGGTCTGAAACCACAGGCAACAAGCAGGGACTCCTTCCTATACTCAGGACATCTCGGGAACAGTGTGTAGTCCTGACATGAGCCACTTGAGGAACCCCCAAGAGAGACAACCTAGCAGTCAAGCCATCCATGATCACCCTAGACCCCTGCAGGCTTAGTCAACAAATCCTGGAAGCCTATCCACTGCCCACCCCACTCTTTCCACCTGCTCTAGGGAGCCGAGATCTTCCTGGGAACCCAAGGTCACTGGAGGTGGCAAAGGTCACATGTCCCCTGCTAGGAAAGCAGCTGCAAAAGCAGAGACCCCTGCTTGCTGGAGTTTTCATAATTTGATTTCTAGAAGGCATTAGCTGACTCACCCTGGAGAAGCGGGCCTGGTCGCCAGTGCACGTAGCACAGTGCCTGCTCATCAAGGGCTCCATAACCTGGCTCCTGCCAAGACCCTTCCGGCACCAGCTTCACAAATCCACGCTTCCCTGCAAGCTGGCACATCCGGATCCTGTTCTCAGGACAGGTGCTCCTGGGCGACAGCCAGTGCCATGGTTCTAAATACCCTCTGCATACTGACAACTCCCTGATGGACACCTCGGCTTGGATCTCTCCCCTGGACGCTGGACTCGCCACTCTGACTGCTGACTTGGCATGCCGTGTGGACGCTTCCTTCCCACTCCAGCACAGCTCTGATTTCTACCACTCCACAGTCCTTGCCAAACATCTGCTCCATTTGCTGTCTTCCCTGCCTTTCCATTCATGGCCACCTGTCCTTCCCACGGCCAGGCCTGTGAGCCACCCTTGACGTCTCACTTCCTGCCATACCTGCAGAAACCTGTGTGGCTTGATCACTGGAATACAATCAGCCCTTACACCAGCACCCTTGGCCCCACCATGCTACCCTGGCCCCACCATGCCACCTTGGCATACTCCTCATTCCACTTCCTAACCAGCCTCCCTGGCTCACTGTCTACTCCCCACCCAGCCACCACACACCTTTGGAAAAGGAGTTGCTCATCTTGGGATCAGAAGTGCTTTCCCCAGCCCCCTGGGCTCTAAGGGCTCTGCAGCCAACTCCACCCTTCATGCCCAGCCCACCTGCCCGATTCTCTCACACTCTCCACCTTGTTCACGCTGTTCCGGTCACATAGTCTTTCTCATCTGTTCCTTGCAGATCCTAAGCAACATCTAACTTCCTTAAATGTTCTACCCTTGAGGACCCTTGCCACTTGTAGGTCCAGTTACCCGAAATGTGCTTCCCCAGCTACCCATATGGTTCATTGCCTTAGACAACCTCAGAGGCCTTTCTGACCAACCTGCCTCCATAGCATGTCTGTCCTCTACTCTCTGTCCCTTACCCTGCTGTTACCTTGTTTCTCAGTACTCAGCACCATTCATTGTAGGATGGAGTGATTTACTCAGTGCCGTTTCCTCCCACTGTGATGCAAGCCTCATGAGCACAGGGTCGTGGCACACCTTTACTGTGGTCTCCCCAGGGCACAGGAGAGAGCCTGGCATACAGGAACTGCTCAGCGACTGTTTGCTGAGTGAATGAGAAGCAGGGAGCTGCATGGCAACAACACCCCCTGTGCTGAAGAAGGGAAAGGGACAACTGGTGGCTTGATGGCTGGTAGGCAGTCACAGCTAGTCCTTTTTTTCGTAGACATCCAGAACAGAGGCTGTCTGTGGACTACGGCTGTCACAGCCACTGGGTACCAGCAAGGACAACACGGCAGGGTGCAAAAAGCACCAGGCATGGTGCCAACAACCCCATGATCTAGTCCCAGTTCTGTCACTGAAGATCTACGTGGCTGCAGGCAGGTCACAGCCTCCTCTCTTCAATTCTTTCCTAGCCCAAAAACTGGCATATCACCTCCTTGTTTGCCAGCCTCATTGGACTGTTCCAATGATTTGAGGGAGACACATCTGCAGAAGTAACCCCTCCTAAACTGGCAAAACGCAGAGCCACAGCTGGTCTATGGTGCGGTGCCTGGCATCCAGCATGCACACACTGTTGCCTGAACAAAAGTAATTCCAAATGGCAAGACATGCAAGAACTCGAGCAGTAGTCTGTGGTGATGGGCAGATGGTTCTGGGCAGGTGCATGGGCTCTAGCTAACCTACGCTGAAGACGACATCATTTAAGAACCTGAGGGCTAGAATCCCACCAGGCCTCACTAGGAAAATCTGAGTGGCCCATGAGGCCAGCTCACACACTTCTGCACGCACTTCACATTCCCCTTCCCCACCCTCCCAGGCCTAACTGCACTTCATGATTCAGTCCAACGGCTTCCTCTGACAATTTCCCACTGTTTCTCTTCTCCACTCACTGCCTACTCTCCCTGAAAGCCCCCAAAGCATCTATCACAGCCTTATCCTCCTCCTGTCCACTCACCCAGGTGTCTCCCCCTCTCCGCAGCGAGTGCTACAAGGACAGCCACCCCAACTGGGCCATTCCTCCAGCACATAAGAAGCACCCAACACACATTCGTTACATAAACAAGCAAATGGATGCATAGGTCCGCAAAGTGTCAGACCAGCTCTTCTCCTTTCTAAGCAAGCCCTTGTAGTGGACGCTTTCCTTCTCTTCTTTGCTGAGCAGTGTAATAAAAATGACACTATGCCAGGCTCCATCCCAGGTGCTTCCCATATGTGAGTTCAATTCGCCCTATATCTCTGCTGATAGGATTCCCATTTTTCATTTGGCAAGACTGAGGCTCCCAGAGGTTAAGTGGCTAATCTAGCTACTAGGCGGCAGAATCAAGGTTGGCGCTAGTCTGTACTCTTTACTACCACACATAACTGCCGCCTAAGAGCATGTTTAAGGAAAACAAACCTCAATTAATATCAGCCTGAGAAAAATGTCATTTGAAAACACACACCCCCACACAAACAAAAATAAACGTTTTGGAGGATCATCTCTTTGGCTTGGGCTTAGTCATCCTTCACCCAGGGCAGATGACTTTGCAAGCAGCAGGTGTTGGCACACCCGAGGTGACACCCCAGCCAATTCCCCAGCCTTGGCCTTGGGGTTGTCCCACCTCACCAGGCCCACCTCACCTTGTCCCCGATGCCCTCCGCCTCCTCAGCCAGGAGGTACACGTTGCCGCCGTCAGCCAGCAGCAGGGCAGTGTCGGTGGTGGAGGAGGAGCGGGGGCGGCACTGGTGCTGGTGCAGGATGGCGGCCAGGCTGCTGTCCTGGGGGCCCTTGCGCAGCAGGTGGGGGCTGCCACGCTGGGGCTCCAGGGAGCTGCTCTTGGTGCGTCGGCTGCTGCCCCCACTACTACCGCCCCCACTGCTGCTGTGCAGGCTGGCGCCACGCTTGATAGAAGGCCGGGAGCGGATCTGCTGCAGCACGCGGTTGAAGGCGGTGGGCCGTGCAGGCAAGTCGTGCAGGGACATGGCATAGGAGACACGGTGCATCTCTGGGGAGCACTCCTTCTCGTCCGGGGAGTCATGGTCAGACATGCCCTGCTGCTGAGAATCCTGAGACGCTTGCTGCTCCCTCTCCCGGGACCGCCTGCGGCTGTGGAACAGGTGCTTCAGGCCGTGGCCAAACATGGAGCCTTCAGAGAGCTGCTGGATTTTCTTAAGAGAGAGAGAGGGAAAACCCAGTAAATGGGAAGCTCCTGGAACGACTGTCTGCTTAAGAAGACCGCACAAAACTGTGGCAAGCCACCCAGCCCCCGCAGCAGGATCATGGTTTGTGTGGTCTGGACTCAGCGGTATGCAAGGGCAGTGCTTGGCCTCTTCTGGATCAATCTCGCCAGTCCCTCACTCCTGTCGTCAGACCCTCCTACAAACTGCACTGGCAAGGTGAGGTGGGGCAGGTTATGGTGTTGTAGCAGAAGCAACTAATTCCCTACCCAGTAGCTACTTCCCTTTCTTTCTCATTGATCAAACAATGCCCCACTAAAAACTCCAGCTTCATCAGACTCCCTTACAGCTAGGAGGAACCACATGATACAACTGCAACCAATGAAAAGTGAGGGGTGCATCTCTGGGAACACAAGGCACACGGGTCTTCTTCCTTCCTTCCATCTGGAATGGCAAGGTAATGTCTGGAGATGCAGTCACCATTCTACAGCCACAGGTGATATGGCTGATGATGATGACAATGGTGATGAAGATGGACAGATGGTAGAGGTGTCGCAAGGGATAGACTTGGGAACCTGATAGCCTGTAGGGCCACCAAGCCAGTACCCATGCTGGGATCCCTGGGATCTGAAATCTATATCTCTATCTTTGTCTTAAGACTCTAGTGCAATCATGTATTATCTGCAGCCAATTTTATTCCAGGATATAGCTGGCAATGAAATAAAGCCTGATTTGTAATGAGTGACTTCTGAGCACACATATCCAGGATTAGCTGGCTACAGAAATCTTTGTCCTCTTACTGCAGCAAAGCAAGGGGTCCCGTAGCCCAGAGCAGCCCTGGCTTCAGCCTTTCCTCCCAGCCTGCCACCTCAGCTGGGAGTGGTCAAAGAGGCAGCTAGCTGGCTCCCAGTGCAAGGCATCTGGGGCTATCCTTGTAGACTGCTGCTCATCAGGGCTCGGCTCATTCTGCCAGGCTGAGCCCTCTGCAGGGACTTGGGAGCTGCTGGGAGCAGGTGTGTTGGGGATATCCCACATTCTAACTCAAGCCCCACCCGGCAGCTCTACTCCATGGACATAGGGCAGCTTCAACCACTGTAAAATCCATTCCAAAACCCCTCCACTGGGTTCTGCTTTACTTCTCCTAAAAGCAAATTTACAAAACGGAAAACTGAGTCATACAGAAAACAAGAAGGAACCATCCTACCTCTTCCGAATGAGTAGACCCCACCCTGGCGTGACCTTTCAGCTGAGCACCAAGGAAGGGTTCATGTAAACAGCTGCACTCATACCTGGGTGTAAATAACCAGCCCTGCATGCACTGGTGAGAAAATTGGGAACTATAATCTTTCACCCTATTTGAGTCTCCCCACAGATCTCAGCGTAGGTGAGGTCTGACATCACCCATTTCACAGGCAGGCAAGTTACGTTATCACAAGTCACCACGTACTTCCAAGGTTCTCTCTCTTTCTCTTCTCTTTCTCATTATCTCATTCAGTTCTCCTCAATACTAGCAAGAGTGACAAGTGCAACAGCTCTGTTTACCAATGAGGAAATTAAAGACTCCACTATCCTTCTCAAGAGCTGAACCTTGGGTATTACTGGAGAGGTTTGGTCACACAGTGCCAGGTTGCCCCATAGCCCCTGCTCTCCTCTCAGTGCCTGCTGGAGGCATGGCCTTCAGGTGCCCCAGGCAGAGTGGGCAGGGGAGTTCTCTCCAGATTAGGGACAAACCTGGCACCTCCCCCTTCCTCAGGCCCAGGCAGATCCCAGACCGCTCCAGGCTTCCCGGATGGGGCCAGCTGGCTTGGCACTTGCCCAGCTGCTTCTGCCAAATGATCACATTACATGGTGCGAGTTGTCTTGGGAGCATTCCATTCCAGGTCTCTGCCTCCTCTCCCCCTGCCTCGTGAGCCGGCTGCTCTGACCCCAAGGCCTCTCCAGGACTGGCTCAGGGAAAAAAGGTTGCCTGCGGAAGGCTTCCCCAGAAGTTTCAAACTTCTGACCCAGTATTAGGGGCCAGTGACACAACAGCACTTGGTGAGGTCTTAGCAATGTCTGCCAACATTCCAACCTGCTGCTGACCTAACCTCAGGCCATAGCCTCACTGAGTCCACTGAGCATGAAGAAACCGAGGCACAGCATGGCTGAGTGGCTCATTCCAGCCACAGATGAGAGAGAAAGAGCTCTTCCATCAGTTGTTCCCTTCTCAAATGGCCACATGGCCTGGGTTGGGCCAGGCTAAAGGCAGGAGTTAGTGCCTGCTCTTGGGTTTTCCAGATGAGGTCCAGGGCCCAAGCACTTGAACCATATCTCACTGTTTCCCAGGAACATCAGCAGGGAGCTGGATTGGAAGTAGAGCAACCAGGACTCTACCAAGCTCCCATATGAGATTACGGCAGCACAGGTGGAGGTTTAGCCTGCTATGTTACAACATCAGCCCATACTTTAATTTTTTAAAATAGACAACTACTATATTATTCCTCAAAGGCCACAGCAGATAGGACTGGGCCAGATCGATGCCAAGAGCCAAGAACTCCATCCAGGTCTCCCATGTGGGTGACAGGGATTCAGGTACTTATACCATCACCTGCTGTTTACCAGGGTGGGTATTAGCAGAGATCCAGGGAAGCTAGGGGGGAAGGTAGATAGTGCAACTTACCTAGCAGGGAAGCTAGGTAGCCAGGACCTGAAGGGGTGCTCCAATACACGATGCAGGTCTCATGTGTCATCTTCAGCCACTGCATGCAACACCAGCCGCTCAAGCAGCATCTTAGCTGCTATGCCAAACGCTCACCCCCACTACTTCTATTCTAATTTATTAGCCCATGCACTGATCCTGAGAGTAGAGTAGATATGGCATTTGTATGTGTTCCAGAAGAGTTATCTCAGACAGGATTCAAACAAAATTAAGACATGTGAGTCAGGAGAGTTAAAGTCCCCTGAACCATAGTCTTGCATCTGCCTGCACTGCATGATAGGACCAGGCAAGATCAAAAGCAAGAAGTCACTTCCTAGTTCCCCAGCTGATCTGCAGGTGAAAACAAGTCAGGGGTCGTGGTGAGGGGACCTCAGGACATTGTCACAGCAGCACTGAGGAATCTGTTCTTGTTGCCAGTAGGCACGAGAGGAAAGAACAAAAACCAAGCCCAGCAGCAACATGTGGTGAGAAGGAAGCTGCTCCAGATGGAGGGGTTTCTCTTCATGTGCAAGGTGCAAGGGAGACAGGAATAGCAGCGTGGAGCCTGGGCTGGGCTGAGCTGCCCGTGGGCGTCATAGGAGAGAGGTTCAAGGAGTTTTGACATAATAATGTAAGTACTTAAAAAAAAAAAACCCTTGGCACATACACACCACCAGCTACAAGTTTCAGGAGAGAGGAAAACCATGGTGACTGCCTGAGGCAACTTCGCCCCCCATGCAGCCGAAGGCACCACCTGCTCTGACTAACGTTCCAGCTACTAAATGTCATGGGCGTCCCCATGTCAACAACTTCTGCTGGTCCCTAGCTGCCAGAAACCATTCTGGTGGCTGAATGACACCGTGAGCTGAAATGCTGTTGAGTTTGAGGTGGGACAGAGGCTGAACTCACAACCTTGGGAAAGAGAGTGAGGGGTGGCGTCCTCAGAATGGGCCAGCACATAGCCAGCCAGAGCAGGCAGGGAGTGGGGCAGTGTCCAGGGGAGGTGTTGACACCTGGGGCAGTGGTCATACAAACACGGGTGCAGGCTTCTCCTCGGCACCCATCCTCAAGGTGGGGGTTGGTTCTCCACAATGGCCTCGTCCTTTCAGGAAAACGGGTAGATGAGATGATTTCCGGAAGATCCTTCCCCAGAAGCCTGTGGTTTCCCAACAGTTTGGCCTCTTCCGTTTTTCGCCCTGGGTGTGGGTCCCCTAAAGGGGAAGTCTGCGCCAAGATCCACCAACACAGCTGCATGAGCCAAGGATGAAGCGCCCCTGGGACACTGCATCTTTGGCATCAACTGGTTCCCAAACAATCAAAAGTGGTTTCTAATTCCTCAGCATCTTCAAAAGCCACACTAACCTCCAGCCAATTATCCTGCCTAGCAGCTGGCAGCATGCCTGCCCTTCCTCCCACCTGGGTCTGAGATGCTCTCCAGCTCCCTCCACTGCCCCTCCCCAACCCTGCAGGTGTAGCTAGCTGCCAGGGTTCAGTGGGGGTTCCTGGGTCACCCTGAGCCTTTGCAAGCCTAGGTCGCCAACGTTCCCTCTATTTATAGGGTCTCTATGGAAACAGGGCCAGCATCAGAGAGCTAATCACTACAAAAACCCACAGAGTTCCACTCGCAGGCTGCAAAGTGGATCTTGGAACCACTTGCCCCTGAGAAGCTTTCACGGGGAAGCAGGGCTGAAGCAGGATCAGGAGAGGAGCCAGGACTCCCACCTCGGTGACGGTGATCACAACGGTGGCAAAGAGGGGGCCCTGCTTGTGTTAGGCCTGGGTGGGCTTACTGATGGAAACAACAGGGCAAAAAAAAGAGACTCCTTTTCGCTGAGAGACTCCTGGAGCCATTTTATTTTTCTTTCCCAACAACAGAGCTTAGGTTAAGCCATCACTTGTAATGCCAGAGTCCCACAGGTGTGATGGTTTGAGTCCCAGCTGCTCCACTTGAAATGCAGTTCCCTGTTAACGCACCTGGGAAAGCAGCAGAGAATGGCCCCTGCCACCTATGCAGGAGGCTTGGGGGAAGTTCCTGGCTCCTGGCTTCAGCCTGGTCCAATCCCAACCATTGCAGCTATTTGGGGAGTCAAACCAGTAGACAGAAGATCTCTATCTCTCCTTCTTGTCCTCTGTCAGTTTGCCTATAAAAATAAATTAATCTTATCAAATTTATAATAGAATTTGCCTCGGGGCAAATGATGTCCCCAGTCCCAATCTCATTTTACTTCCTCTTTCTTTACTGCTGAGCAAATACTGCTCAGAGCAATGTAAGCTGGGAAAGGTCACCTTATCCACGGAATCTTCTCCTCGGCAG